TATGGGCAGCAGCGTTTATTTATTTATTTCTGTGGTACAACAGCAGATTACAAACAAATCTTTTACCAATAGAATACAACAATAGCATTATAAGTCTGCAGTCCAATTATAGTTGTACTCAACATTCACAGAGGTGAAACGGAATAGGTTGATTTTTAATACAAAAAAAGAATGAATGTTAAAAAATACATACAAAATAAGAAACAAAAACAAAACTACCAAACTATGCTTATAAAATATTGGGTTATCAGTGTATGTAAAGTTTTTTTTTCATACAACTTGAATCGCAAACAAGCTCACGGTTCACCTGATGGAAAGTGGTAACCGTTGCTTATAGACATGAGCAGTACCATGGACATAACAGAGTATACTGTCTCGCCCATGATACCCCGCATGCGTTGCCATTCCTGAGGACTCAGGTGTTATTCCTCTGTACCCAGTAAATTCACGCCATATCCCAACCTTCAAACCGAAACACAGCCATGCAAACACAACTGCTTCACGATAGAAACACGAATGGTTCGAGACAATGAAAATTTCTGATAGAACATGTCAATATCCGATTTACAATCAATGTCATTGTACAATTTGCACATTCTGTACATTGGATTATTATATGACACATTATTGTTTGCGAACGGTATAAAAAAAAAGTTTAGTTTTACGAGAAGAGTGTTCAATGGCTTTCAGGTTTATGTACTCCAATAAATTACCCTCCAATTCATTTTTTACAATTTTATATAAATATGTTCTTTTTTCAATGGGTGAAAATGGTATAGTAACCCTGTCTGCGCTAACGGGATACGGTGGCGGAGCACCAGTGAAGGGTGATAGATAAGAATGAAAACAGGCCAGTTAGCCCATCATGATGAATTCATCAGGAATTAAACATGATAGTTTCCAGGGGGAACCGCGAGGAGGTGGACCTGGTTGGGTATATTGCTAGCAATGGGATTTTTAGTCTCTATTACTAACAATCCCTTTCCCCCCAACTATATAAATATGTTAGGTCAATAATTTTACGACGCGCAACCAAACTCTTCCTTTTAAAACATTACTAAATCCTGACTGTGGTTGCCAACCCGCCTGCCAAGCGTGGCAACTACTGGCAAAATCCCCCAACAGGGGAAGGTCTATGTCCAGCAGTAGACAGATAACAGCTATGATGATGAATAAGAGCAACAGATGCTAAAACAATATTACATTAAAATTTTCGTATGCCTGACTATGCATGTTTGTTCCGGCATCATACAAAAATTACTGCACCGAATTAGATGCAGCTTTTACAGTTGAACAAACCCTTTTTCACATCTACACACTCTATAGGTACGTTATAATTTAGGTTTCAATAAATAAATACAACCTTAAACTGTGCCAGGTGGGATTTTTTTATTATTCAATATATTCCTGAGCTTATAAACACAGGTTAGAAATCTTAATATCGCGTTGTAGCACACAGATACTAAAATTACAACTCCATCTAGTGGTCAACGTGAGGAGTATTTCTGTTGTTGCCATGGTTACAGCAATTAACTCAATACGGATTATACAACAGTTGTATTCCCGAAAGTTTAACTTAAAATCTGTGGTAAATCTTTTATCTTGACTCACCATCTACAAATGGTCTATTACATTGACTTTCTTACTCTGGAATCAAAGAGTATGAACTGTATTTTTTTGTTTTTTTATTTCATACTACTAGAGTGGCAAACAAGCATACGGCTCATCTGATGGTAAGCGGTTACCGTAGCGTATAAACGCCAGCAATACTTTTTTTTTGATGGGTGAAAATGGTATGGTAATCCCGCCTGCGCTAACGGGATATGCTGACGGAGCACCAGTGAAGGGTGATAGATGAGAATGAAAACAGGTCAGTTAGCTCATCATGATGAATTCATCAGGAATTAACCATGGTAGTTTCCAGGGAGAGCCGTGAGGAGATGGGTATATTGCTAGCAATAGAATTCTCAGTCTCCATTACTAACAATCCCTTTCCCCCCAACGCCAGCAATACTAGAGGTATTACGCGGGCGTTGCAGATCCTAAAGAAACCTCTACCTCCCTTTTGAAGAACCCCATGCTGTAGTCTCTTGGGAAAACCTCGGCAGGGAGCTCATTCCATAACCTGAGTTTTCGTGGGAGAAAACATCCCTGAAACCGCGTTGTACACGACCATCTAGGCTGTAGGGTATGGGGGTGAACTCCCTGTCGATGGCGAGCCGTACGATGTATGTTTTTTATTTATAAACAAACGAACTTCGTACAACCTAACCACAGACAATTGGGGAGGGGGGAGGGGGGTTGTTAATAATGCGCATTACCAGTCTCATTGTTAGCAATATGCCCAAAAAGGTCAACCTCCACGTGGTCCCCCCTGGAAACCATCGTGCTGAATTTCAAGTGAATTCATCACGATGGGCTAATTGACCTGCTTTTTCATTCTCACCTATCATCTCTTACTGGTGCCCCGTCAGTGTATACCGATAGCGCAGGCGGGGTTACCATGTCATTATCATTCATAAAAAAAAAACAGACAATTTGTGTTTGACTAATGTTACCGTTGTATAAATATTGACATCAATGTTTATACGATACTAACTTCATTCAATTGTTTCGCCTTCCCGGAACCTCTCCACTAACGCTCGACCTTTATGCTATGGTATTAAAATTCAAGTTGACTTTAAGGCATTATTACGAACACATTCAGTGATTAATTTTTATATTATGTATTGTATTGTATTGTATTGTAAAATCTTTATTGTACATAATTCATACTGAATACATTAAATGATTTAATATAGAATGGCGGACTTATCCCCATAAAGGGATCTCTTACAGTCGACCTTTGAGAAGCTGAAAGAAAACTGTAGAATGTACAAGGGTAATAACCAGTAAAATAATATATAAGATACACACTACACATATATAATACACACACACACGCACGCAAAATAATATATACCTACATATGTAAATAATAAAAGTACATGAATAATAATATATAACATTAATACATAAACCGCAACCGCACACGCACGCACGCACGCACGCACGCACGCATAAAAACGCACGCACGCACGCACGCACGCACGCACGCACGCACGCACGCACGCACGCACGCACGCACGCACGCACGCGCACGCACGCACGCACGCACGCGCGCGCACGCACGCACGCACGCACGCACGCACGCACGCACGCACGCACGCACGCACGCACGCACGCACGCACGCACGCGCACGCACGCACGCACGCACGCGCACGCACGCACGCACGCACGCACGCACGCACGCACGCACGCACGCACGCACGCACGCACGCACGCCGCACGCCGCACGCCGCACGCACGCACGCACGCACGCACGCACGCACGCGCACGCACGCGCGCGCGCGCGCGCACGCACGCACGCGCGCGCACGCACGCACGCACGCACGCACGCACGCACGCACGCACGCACGCACGCACGCACGCACGCACGCACGCACGCACGCACGCACGCACGCACGCACGCACGCACGCACGCACGCACGCACGCACGCACGCACGCACGCACGCACGCACGCACGCACGCACGCACGCACACGCACACACACACACATATATATACATACATACATACATACATACATACATACATATATACATACACATACATATATGCATAAAAAATACATAGATACATATATTCATGTATGTGAGAGCCATATTTAAAGAGAATATAATCACTCCATTTTAATCATATTTGGTTAATTAGAAGCAAAGCTTACAAGAATCTGCCTCAGGCTACAGGCTGTTCTGAGTCTGATGTCACATTTCTTTCCATGTACTTTCACCAATAATTTCTGTTCAAACGAAAAGAAAGTGCAAATATATTTTTTTTTTTTCATATAAATTATCACGTCCTCTGTGGTGTAGTCGTTAACAACTCACATTCCGGGGGTCGCGGCTTCGATTCCTGAATAATTTCTCTAATAAAATAAATAAACTAAGAAACGGTCGGAAGACAATATAAATTTAAGAATCTCTGGTCTATTTCTGTCTACGTCTGTAGTGAAGACGGTACTCCAAAAAAGAGGATGATTTCAAACAAATTAGGCCTTGAATTGAATGTGAAGGCAAATAAAGTGACATTAATGCAATTTAAAAATTGCAATTTAATATTTATAGCGAGACACGCTATAAATATTAAAACGTTTCAAACGCAAGCATTCCGCCTGAGAATACATAATTATGTCTTCGCAAATAAGCTACTTCAATAAAAAGATTTGTGTTCCAACAAAAAAAAACAGAGTTCAACTTTTTTTATACAACTTAGAATGACAAACAATCTGACGGCCCACCTGATGGAAAGCGGTAACCGTCAACTATAGACATGAGCAGTACCATGGACATAACAGAGTATACTGTTTCGCCCATGATACCCCCCATGCGTTGCCATTCCTGAGGATTCAGGTGTTATTCCTCTGTACCCTGTAAATTCACAACCATATCTCACCCTTCAAACCGAAATACAGCCATGCAAACACAACTGCTTCACAGTAGAAACACGAAGGCGACAGACATAAAAAAAAATACAATCGAATTAAAAATCTCTCTTTTTTTAAGGCGGTTGAAAAAACAAATATACTTCGGAACATTACGTACGAAAAATGATTATATATGCATATTAAAAAAAATTGCATTCCATTTTGTAAATGTTGCTAAAAGATGTAAATATTGCATACATTTGAATAGTTAAGTAGATACATTCACTGCAGGCTAGGAGTGTATAATTAAACATTGTGTACCACAAAAAACCGACTTCAATTTAGACAAATTCTGTTATTTCGATTTAAGAACTAAATTACTGAATCGATTTTGATTAAATTGCAGTGGATGCAGGTGGTTCAGGACCGTTCCTTATGGCAGTCTACGGGGGAGGCCTATGTCCAGCAGTGGACGAATAATGGCTGGAATGATGATGAAGATAAAAAACAATTCTAGCACAATGCTGGTTTACCTGTCACTCTGGTACAGTTCCACCGAGGAGTTGAGCTCGGCGAGTTGCTCTTTCAGCAACTGCAGGTTTGAGTTGACGAAGCTCAGCTCCAGGGCCACCGTCTCGCGCAGTTTCCTGTTCGTTGTGGCCTGTGAACAATCATATTGATTAATCATTAGACAACTTTATCTAATCACTAGCGGGCCCTCTAGATAAGTGGCAAGCGAATGCGCCGATGGAATCGACATCGGTAGCGAGTTCCACAGAGACACAGAGACACACTGTTTCGCCCATGATGCCCCCCATGCGTTGCCATTCCTGAGGACTCCTCTATTGTTGATACCGTCATCTGTTATAAAAGTATAATATCATTGATTTTTCTATTTTTGTAATCATGCATACCAAAATTTTTCTTAAAAATCATTGGCTTTAGTATGACGAGTAATTCTCCGAGTGAATTACATTTTATCAAGCAAGTAGCATTGTGTCCAATACCGAACAATACTACCTGTTAGTACGTTGACACTTGTGCCTTTTGGTGGAAAAAGATGCGCGTGCGCCGATCCGTGACACCCCTCGGTCTTTGAACTCCAACCTTGAGGCTGTGGGCATTGTATTTACATATCGAGACAGCTGCCTCTTTTATAGATGAGCAATAATTTTGGAAATATAAACCTTGTTGATTTATGGACAAACTTGCTTTTACACGCGACTTCGTCCGCATGGAATTAAAAGGAGGCTAGGTCTTTCATCTCATACAGTATCTGTATACCATATATTATAGTGATTGTTTAAGTCGATAAGGCGTTAAGAGGTAACAAACAGACAAACTCACTTACACGTTAGAGGACAAGATAAGTATGTATATTCCTATATTAAAAAGAAATTATTTCAATTCAATCGTGTACGCTCTTAAAATGTTTCGGACATAGGTATATTATAATGGATAATCTAAGATTGTGTTTCAACAAAAAAAAAAACGATTTTGATTGTTATAAAGCACCAGAGACTTTGTACAAAAGTCGATTGCTTGGGTACCTCTGTCCCATTCGTGTTTCTACTGTGAAGCAGTTGTGTTTGCATGACTGTGTTTCGGTTTGAAGGGTGGGATATGACGTGAATTTACAGAGTACAGAGGAATAACAACTGAGTCCTCAGGAATGGCAACGCATGGGGGGTATCATGGGCGAAACAGTATACTCTGTTATGTCCATGGTACTGCTCATGTCTATAGGCGACGGTTATCACTTTCCATCAGGTGAGCCGTCAGCTTGTTTGCCATTCTAAGTCGTATAAAAAAAAATGTTATTTTAACCTAAAACTAACCTACTGAACGAATTTTACTAAAATTTCAATGGAATAGATCTAAAAGTATGTCCTTTTAAGTGAAAAGGAATCTAAAGCGATTTTTAAATGACGGAGTTGTGAGTTAATAAACCTAAAAATGATACAACCGAATTGACAGCCTCCTTCTTATGGGGGGAGGAGGAATTGCTAGTAATGGGGATTAGTAGCCCAATTGCTAGCAATATACCCTGTCAGGTCGACCTCCTCGTGGTTTCCCCAGGAAACCATCGTGACTGATTTATTGTTAGATTCGTCACGGTGGGCTAACTGACCTGCTTCATCCTCACCTATCATCCCTCACTGGCGCCCTGCTAGTGTATACCGATGGCGTGGGCGGGGTTGTCATTCCATTATCATCCAATTAAATAAACCTCGTTCTTATTGAAGTCGGTTAAAATCGGTGTTTATTTTTTTTCAAAAACAAAAGCATACTTTTTTTAATATTTGACGGTACATAATGCAAATTTTGTGACCTTTTCTTTTAAAACAAAAGTATACTTTTTTTTAATATTTGACCGTACATAAAGCAAATTTTATGACCTTTTTAAATATAACGGTTTCCTCTATTCATAAAAGATTGATTATTACCACTATTATTGATTACAAGATTGTCATCATTGTCTTCTCATTTATTTAATATATTTTTTATACCACTGAGGTGGCATTCAAGCATACGGCCCACCTGAATGTAAGCGGTTAGTGTAGCCTATGAACGCCTGCAATAACAGTGGTATTACGCGATATATATATATATATATAGACTTATATATGTTTATTCTATATAAGTATTATATATTTCAAATATAGATATTATATATATATAATATATAATTATGTAAATACTTATTGTTGTTTTTGTCTTGCACTACTACTGCCCACTCACTACTTCCTATGCCACTGTGTTACGTTGACTGGAAGAAATCTCTTTTAGAGATAAGTTCACGTTTACTTATATTGTTTCTAAATGTTATTATTACGGTACGTTTTAGTGTAATAAAGAATATATATGTATAGAAAAGAGTATATATATATATTGAGAATAAGCCGCAACAGATGTGGCGTTTGCCAAGATTGACTTGTACGTTTGCAGCCACAAATTGTTGTGGTCAGTAGACAGTAGACATGCGGGTATTGTGAGGTTCATTGTTGGAAACTAAGTAATATATATATATATATATATATATATATATATATATATATATATATATATATATATATATATATATATATATATATATATATATATATATATATATATATATATATATATATATATATATAATATATATATATATATATATTGCATATACATATCTTTAAAAAGGGAGGTAAAGACGTTTCTTTAGGGTCGATAATGCGTGCGTAATACCTCTGGTATTGCAGGCGTTCATAGGCTACGGTAACCGCTTACCACCGGTGGGCTGTATGCTTGTTTGCCACATCAGTGGTATAAAAAAAAAGGTACAAAAGGCGGTCTTGTCGCTTGAGCAATCTCTTACAGACAATCTTTGGTTAGAGGAGAACATATCTTTCTCTCTCTCTCTCTTCAGTCGTACGCTCTTGACAGAGCGGTCGTGGTTTTCATAATGGTATTTATATACGAGGGTCATTTGAAAAGTTCTTAGTCTAACATACTTAATGAAACCACACGATTTTGAGTTTATTTTTATTTTTCAACATACTCTCCTCCGAGCTCAAAACACTTTTTCCATCGACCCGGTATGGTTTCGATACCCGTTTTAACAAAAATCTTCGTCTAACTCCTCAAAATAAGCGTCCACGGCGGCTATGACCTCTACATTTGTAAAAGACATGTTTACCACCTAAAAATTTTCTTCAGCTTTGGGAACAAATAAAAGTCGGACGGTGCTGAAACCGGTGAATATGGGGGATGAGGTAACAATTCGTATATACGTGCGACGATACAATATATAGAAACATATAAATAAGTTACGTTACCTTAAAGAGATTCTCAGCGCCGGCGCGCAGCCTCAACTCCTTGTTGATCTCCTGGTTGAGCTGGCACCGGCGAGTCTGGAGGCGGCCCCGGCACGTGGCCACGCGGGGGTCTGACCCCTGCAACAACAGATAAACACACTTATTGATGGGTTCCCATAGGAAAGTGGCGATACAATTGATTCATTACGCAACTTTTTCTATACCACTGAGGTGGCAAACAAACAACGGCCTACCTGATGGTATGTGTATATTTCGATCTGTATTTATGTTACTGTATTTCACTTGAATTATTCACTTGACATTGTATATTTTTATTTATGGTGCAATAAAGAGTTAAATAAATAAATAAATGGAAAAGTTTTTGTTCAGCAGTGGACAGTTGAAGGCTGTTAGATGATAATTTACCAGACTGGAGACTTTGGAAAAAAATATTTTGTTTTTTTTAATAGATGATAATGGAATGGCAACCCCGCTTGCGGTAACGGTATACGCTGGCAGGGCACCAGTAAGGTATGATAGTTGAGAATGAAAAGGTAGGTCAGTTGGCCCATCGTGATTAATGCACTTGGGATTCAGAACAATGGTTTTTAGGGAGTACCACGTGGAGGCCGACCTGACAGGATATATTGCTAGTAATGGAACCGGTAGTTCGCATTACTAACAATCCTTCCCCCGACAAAAGTCGTTTGCTTGGGTACCTCTGCCTCATTCGTGTTTCTACTGTGAAGCAGTTGTGTTTGCATGGCTGTGTTTCGGTTTGAAGTGTGGGATATGACAGTGAATTTACATAATACAGAGGAATAACACCCGAGTCCTCAGGAATCATAGGCAACGCAAAGGAGGTATCATAGGCGAAACAGTATACTCTGTTATGTCCATGGTACTTACTGCTCATGTTATTAGGCGACGGTTACCACTTTCCATCAGGTGGGCCGTCGGTTCGTTTGCCATTCTAAGTTGTATAAAAAAGCAATGTTATTTTGTTAAACTGTATCTACTCGTGTGAAACTGGCCTGGATCAGTCGTGTCAAAAAATAGATAATTTAATTGTTTGCTAGTTACCGTGGATTACGTATAAATGGTTAACGTCGTGTGTGGATGTGTTGCGTTTTCAATTGGTATTTTAATTGGCGTACTGTGATCAACGGTGAAAGTTACAGAACACAAATGGTCCGTTCATCACGACAGTGTACTAGGTATGCGAAGACATTGAAGATTATTGATTGATTGATGATAATGCAATCATTATTATCGCTGAGGGTTATTATTATTTACGAGGTCTGTCCGGAAAGTTCGTATAAAAGTGTTCTGGAATGCGAGAAAGAGGAGTGGGGAGGCCAGGTAAGCGCAGGACCCCTTCCTTATGTCCCTAACAATGCTTCAGTTCTGGTCTGACCGTCGTGCGGTGCGAACTGGCTTGTCACGCCATCTGTGAAGTTACCTCTTAACGAAACCCCGTCGGCATGGAGCCCGCTTCCGTTGAAGAGCAGCGCGTCAAAGTTTCTCTCGAAACTCGGCAAGAATGTCCGTGAAATTTTTGCCGATCTCAGAACAGTAAAATCCCAAAGCAAAGAGTGGAAGACATCCGGGGAACCACGAACAAAAAAATCAAGAAAATCCCGCTCAAATGTCAAGACAATGTTGATTGTTTTTTTCGATGTTAGGGGGATTGTCCATCAAGAATTCGTCCCTCCAGGCCAGACATTGATGGAAAATTCTACGTCGATGCTCAATCAGCTCGTGTAGTTTATTGGCGCGAGAGGGGCGTTGGATTCACCACGACAATGCCCCTGCCCACACCTCTCTTGTTGTCCGTGAGTTTTTGAGTAAAAATTCCATTACGGTGACCGAACACCCCCCCCTATTCGCCGGATTTGGCCCCGTGTGACTTCTTCTTGTTCCCAAAAACCAAATTGGTACTTCGGGGGCGGCATTTGGGGGACATAAATGAGATAAAAAAAGCTACGACGGGGCAGCTGAGAAACCTACAACCAGAGGACTTTCAAGGATATATATGCATTATATATATATATTTATATATATATATATATATATATATATATATATATATATATATATATATATATATATATATATATATATATATATATATATATATAGAGCACTAAAACATACAGTAATAATAAAAAGTTTAAAACAATGTTAGCAAAGGCGAATTTATCTCTAAAAGAGATCTTTTCCAGTCAACCTAGCAGTGGCATAGGAAGTAGTGAGTGGGCAGTAGCAGTGCTAAACAGAGGTTAAAATAAATATTTACATAAATTATAAATCATTATTTAAGCGATTTATATTATAAATATAATACTAGTCACAGTTCTCAGTTTGTTAAAATATTAGATAGATAGATACTCTTAATTGTTTAGAAGGTAGCAGATTTAGAATATGACCGTGTGGTCCCGGCATAGAACAGGCCACCCCTTCCTTTCTCGTGGGTGTCGTAAGAGGCGACTAAGGAGGGCGAGGGATGGGCAGCAGCACCTCTCTTAAAACATCTCCAATGCCTTACTGCCTACTTGGAATTGATTACGATGGTTTCTAGGAGGAGATCGACCTGACCTATTAATGGGCTACTATCTCCCATTACTAACAATCCCTTCCCCCCCTAAAGGGGTAGTTGTATATGCGTACCACCATCTATTTCTACAATCCCGTATTACCTAACGTAATGTGTCGCAAATGCGATCATAATGGATGCTCGTTGAATTTGTAACAATACTGTTGCATCGTTTAATGAAATAATTGTTTGGTCGCAATAGTTGCATAATGCATTGAAGAAAGCATATTGTTGAATGTTAAAACGATTGTTTTGCATATTGAAACTTTTATAGAACATGTATATAATACATACGTGAATTTACTGGGTACGGAGGAATAACACCTGAGTCCTCAGGAATGGCCACGCATGGGGGGTATCATGGGCGAAACAGTATACTCTGTTATGTCCATGGTACTGCTCATGTCTATAGGCGACGGTTACCACTTTCCATAAGGTGGGCCGTCAGCTTGTTTGCCATTCTAAGTTGTATAAAAAAAAATACAATTTTATCTTTGATACTGTGCATGGTACTGCTCATGTCTATAGGCGACGGTTACCACTTTCCATCAGGTGGGCCGTCAGCTTGTTTGCCATTCTAAGTTTAAAAAAAAATATTTAAATTGTGATCCAAAAAACCGATTTCGACTATGGCAAAATTAATTGTTTTCATTTCAAAACTAAACTACTAAATCGACTTTTCAAACAGCATTTATTAACTAAACAAAAACTTGGATTGGTCGCCTGGTAGCGACTGCTTTCAACATAATAATTATTGTGGTGAATTATTTATACTGTATGTTTAATTAATTAATGAAATATATTATTTATGTAAGTATGTATTATTATTTTATTTATTCATTAGTACAAATATGTGTACATGGCGGACTTAATGCTAAAATCATTCTCTCCCAGCCAACCATAGGGAAGTGTCAGAATACTCGAATGCGGTACTACTAATTATTGATATACATACATACTAAAATTACATATATAAACGAATAAATATATATGAATAACAAATATACTTACACATATATGATATATACTATATTATACACGAATTTGGGAATAATATAAAGCACTTATTGCTGGGATAAAAATAAAAAGTGAGCGTGAACGCTGTAAGTATGTATCTATATAATACAATTTTATCTTTGGCTGTTAAATTGGTTACACAGGTTACACTCTGGGTTTGTTGCACGCGTCCGTGTAGCCTCACTTCAGGTTGCAGCTGAAAATCAGTGCTTTGCTTTTAAGCAAAACTATCACTGAGCTGTAGCCCATTTGGGTCACTGCGGCACACTTGGCGGAAACATATTTTCATTTGTCTTTTGTTTTATATTTTAAAAAAGTGTAAATAATCAGATTGCATAAACTCATTTGTTAATTTATGTGTGTCATACATGGCTCAAATAAAGTGTTTATCTATCTATCTATCTATGTGTAGTAACCATCATGATAAAATCAGCCGTCAACTGTCCACTGCTGGACATAGGCCTCCTTCTTAAAGTTCCCCACTTTGTCAGTAGTTATTTTGCTTGGCAGGCGGATTGGTAACCATAGTTAGGCTTTCAGTGATGTTTTAAGAGGGACGCTGCTGCCCATCCCTCGCCCTCCCTTAGTCGCGTCTTACGACACCCACGGTAAAGAAGGGGTGGCCTTTTCTATGCCGGGACCACACGGCCATATAGCTGTTTATTCCACTGATTTGATTCCACTGCTGAATGTAGGCCTTCCCCATAAGCGGGCTTTTGCCAGTAGTTACCAGAGTTAGTTTACCAGAGGGAGACTTTGTACAAAAGTCGATTTCTTGGGTACCTCTGTCCCATTCGTGTTTCAACCGTGAAGTAGTTGTGTTTGCATGACTGTGTACAGAGGAATAATACCTGAGTCCTCAGGAATGGCAACGCATGGGGGGTACCATGGGCGAAACAGTATACTCTGTTATGTCCATGGTACTGCTCATGTCTATAAGCGACGGTTACCACTTTCCATCAGGTGGGCCGTCAGCTTGTTTGCCATTCTAAGTTGTATAAAAAAGAAAAATAAAGTTGTCACGCTTGGCAGACGGATTGGCAACCGCAGTTAGGCTTTTGATGATGTTTTAAGAGGGACGCTGCTGCCCATTTTTCTACCATTAAATTCTCTTAGTCATCTCTTAAGACAACCACGGTAAGGAAGGGGTGGTCCATTCTATGTCGTGTAGAGACCACATATATACGTTCCCTTTAATGGCGAGTAGCCATAGATTTTCCCTTTTTCTTTTCATATAATCTGTATTGTCTATATCGGTCAATCTTATGTGACAATTTTCAAAAAGAATTTAACAATTCTTTCTTATGGTATAAACATGAAACTGTGTTTGTTTGTTGCGTTATAACGCTTTAACGGCTTAACCGATCGCTATGCAATTTGGTATACATGTACTAAATGGGATGGAAACGAACATAGGCTTCATTTTATCTTCGTCAGTAAATATATCCCTATAACGGGGAGGGGGAAGGGATTGTTAGTAATGGGATCTAATAGACCCATTGCTAGCAATATACCCTATCAAGTC